AAGATGTTTTTTTGTTTTGTCATAAGGCCTTACCCAGTTGAATAGTCTGGGGTTGTCATTCAGTACTTTTTACTGTTCTAAGAGTAATATGTTTTTTTGTTTTGTCATAAGGCCTTACCCAGTTGAATAGTCTGGGGTTGTCATTCAGTACTTTTTACTGTTCTAAGAGTAAGATGTTTTTTTGTTTTGTCATAAGGCCTTACCCAGTTGAATAGTCTGGGGTTGTCATTCAGTACTTTTTACTGTTCTAAGAGTAATATGTTTTTTTGTTTTGTCATAAGGCCTTACCCAGTTGAATAGTCTGGGGTTGTCATTCAGTACTTTTTACTGTTCTAAGAGTAACATGTTTTTTGTTTTGTCATAAGGCCTTACCAAGTTGAATAGTCTGGGATTGTCATACAGCACCTTTACTGTTCTAAGAGTAATATGTTTTTTTTTGTTTTGTCATAAGGCCTTACCCAGTTGAATAGTCTGGGGTTGTCATTCAGTACTTTTTACTGTTCTAAGAGTAATATGTTTTTTTGTTTTGTCATAAGGCCTTACCCAGTTGAATAGTCTGGGGTTATCATACAGCACCTTTACTGTTCTAAGCATCATCTGATATTCTCTGATCTTACTTGGAAAAGCTGTAACGTGTTACTCCAGTCAATAAGTCCATCCACTCACTTGTCCTAAATAGTAGTTTTTCTTGGTTTAATGTTCCTGATACAACTCTTTCTTAATTGATTTAGTGTGGACATGGCTGAGTTGGTAATAACTTGAGTGACAGTTGTTCAATATTACTGTTAAAAAAAGATATGTTACTAACTGTCAGATTGTTAAAAAAGACACCTGTTACTAACTGTCAGATTGCCAATTTCGCTAGTTAAGTTTTTTTCTACTATTATTTATTAATCTGGAGCTTAGTTCCATCTTTATGCAAAAATATTATTGTTAAATATGGTGCCTCCAAATAATAACTACATACCCATTTATTCATCTTTTTTAGTTGCAGTACTGATAATTGCTCTTGGAACAAGATTGCAGTACCATGCAGCCCACAGATCCTTTGTGTAGGTGTCTAACCAGTACTGATAATTGTTCTTGGAACAAGATTGCGGTACCATGCAGCCCACAGATCATTTGTGTAGGTGTCTAACCAGTACTGACAATTGTTCTTGGAACAAGATTGTGGTACTATGCAGCCCACAGATCCTTTGTGTAGTTGTCTAACCAGTACTGATAATTGTTCTTGGAACAAGATTGTGGTACTATGCAGCCCACAGATCCTTTGTGTAGTTGTCTAACCAGTACAGATAATTATTCTTGGAACAAGATTGCGGTACTATGCAGCCCACAGATCCTTTATGTAGTTGTCTAACCAGTACAGATAATTATTCTTGGAACAAGATTGCGGTACTATGCAGCCCACAGATCCTTTGTGTAGTTGTCTAAGAAATTTATTGTATTATTTGGTAAAGTATCTTCTGCAATGTGATTAACATGTGTGTGTGTGTGTGTGTGTGTGTGTGAACATCTGCTACAATTACATTAATGTTGGGTACAACAGTATCTAAATAGCCATCTCATCTCTTGATTGTAATTACTATTGAAATGCACTGTTTTAAGTAGAACAAAGTTTTAATAGCACACAAAAATCATTAATACAGAATTAAATATAATCTTTCATACAAACATCAACAGTGTCTATATCTACTAAGACACAGTAATGTTCCCCTAACTATAGTTGCTATAGAATAAAGCTAAGAACTGTGTTAGTGTGATAGAAACAAAAATTAGCTAGAGCTTAAGAGCTTAAAGTTATGGTACTGTTGAAACCATTCCCTAGATACAAAAACAAGTAAAGTGGAATGTTAGATTCCAAATATTCCTCTAAACAAATTTTTCTTAACACCAGCAGAAAGGAGACAAGTCATACAAATAGCAGTTTTTAACTACAACTACACACACGTAATTAACTCTACTGTATACAAATAATAAACATTTAAAATGTTTCATAAATGCTTACTACAGAGTATTAGTGGAAGTACATTTACATCAATACAGATTAGCTTCAAAGACAATGCGAGTTTAACTCTTCTACAGATTGCAAGTATGTCTTTAAATAATATAAATATGTTAAAATCAAATTCTTTAAGTAATAAGTAGGGTAGCAGAAGCACATCTAGGCACAGGACTTTCTTGAAAGGCAACATGTACAGTATAGAGTACAGATGGAATTAAAAAGGAAGCTTCATTATAAAACACTTCATTTTATTGTCAGGGGAAAAAAAGACAACTTGATGACTTTTTTTTTTTAAAGGAGTTGGACTCAGGCAATAAATGTTTGAAATGTTAACAGTTTTGGATGGAACCAGTAACATTGTTTCATTCATTACTCTGGGTGAAACAACTGGAGGAGCAGGACTTCAGTTTCGGCCCATTTCAACTATAATATGTAGTTACTTTTAATTATTTCAGTGGGAAGGTGTGTGAAATACTACGATCTCTGCCATCTGCCGCATAGACATGCATGCTATAGTTAAATGTTTTTAATTGTCATATTTGCTATGCCACAAGGACTGAAATCATGCATTTTATTCACAATAGAGTGAAGGAATGGAATAAGTTAACATAGGTTATGTGACACTACAAAACTCACTGGGATATTATGAATGAAAGAACACTTTACAACTAAAAAAGCTAACAACAGTAATTAGAGATAAAAAAACAAACATCCATTCCTCACAGGACATCTACAGTGCATGAATTATTCATAGAACTGGAACACATCTGTTATCCTCTAACCCAGGCATTTCTTTACATGTTTACCTAGAAAGAAAGAATGAATTAGTGAGAAAGCAAACTTTAAACATTAAAAGTGTACTTTTTACTGTTTTTCAGAGTTCAAGATATACTTACACTTTCAGCCAGTCTTCCTTCAGATGGAAGATCTTGGAGGTGAATATGGTCATACATTTTCTGTCTATTTACTGGAGGACCTAAAAGAGGTAAGAAGCATTTTTTACACTAAACTCTGAAGTTGCCATAAAGGTTTAAGACTGTAGCATATTTTGCAGTATCTTCAAGGTGGAAGCCATTTGTTTTCATAGAAACTGTATTTTTAGTAGTTGCTTCATAAGGTCTGTTGTATAGTTGTAATAAATACAATTCATGAAAGAATTTCTTCTCCCCAAATCATAGATACAAAAGGGAAGGGAAATAAATTTGATATTTTGAATGTTTTTTTTTAAATAAGTTTTAATTTTAATTTACATATTATTGAAACATGGCTCAATAAAAATGGACAATCTTACCTATAATACTTAGAAATACTGGTAGAAATATCAGGCTGTGAAGAGTTCCAAATGCAATGATTCCAACATACATCCTAAAGTAAAACACTTGAAAAATCTGAGACTTCGCAAAGGCTAAAACCAGGATCCCACAGTCAGTGAGGGTGATACCTGATAAAATCTGGAATACAATTCAAGTCACATATTCTGTTCAAGAGAAAATAGCTTTCACTGGTGTTATTAAAATCATGTATCTCCAAAGATAATGTACACTATTGTATCAGTGTGAACAAAGTTTAGAATAACATTAGCATTTGGGCAAGACTATTTCAACAAATTATGATCGTTAATTACAACAAGTCCAAGGGTGCTACTGTATGAGAAAACAGCTACACTAGGGCCAATTTCCTCACACCTTATGTCAGATAGTGTTTTTGTGATGAATGTACTAAATCGGTCATGGAATAGCATATATATTCAGTAACACTCTGCATTTTTATACTTTCATTTGCATCTCTGATAACTTGGGTATACATGGGGTTACCAAATAAAGTGTTTAATTTCATGTTTGATTCCTATTGTGATTAAAACATCCAAAACAAAAACTTTATTGTCTACTTCATATGTGAACCATATAGAAGAATCAAATTCAGTATGTCATGAACATTTCTTAAGGTGCAATGTTGAAAACAGAAGCTGACAAAAGTCTTCTCATGCTTTAACATGGATAATTTCAAAAATTAGACTTCTACTAACGTTATGTGAATGACATTTTCACCGTTATACTGAATTCTATATTGAATCTTCAATCACAAGAAGTTTGGCTTTTAATAACGTGTTAGTCTATTCCTCCCTAAAAATATCAAACCATGCTTATATACTAAACCTTGATATACCCTGAATCTCTGCTTAGACCTAAAATAAATCAAACACAAAACTAACTACTTAAAAAATGTTGTTGCACAAAATAAGAAAAGTTTTGTAAATAAATTCAAGAATTACATAAAACATTCTGACCCTTACGTTTATCTTATTATTCAGAAATCTCAAATAAAATTTGATACAAGTAAAGGTCTCACCAATAATTTCCAATACTCATGGAACAAAGTATACAAATGTAAGAGTGGCATGAAGATTATTGTTGCAGTTTGGAAATGGAAAAAAAAAAAAAAATCGGCCATCTCTGCCCCTGTATACCAAAATTATCACAAAGGCAGGATATTTATGAGTATATAAGGCTTTCAACTAAATCGAGCATGTAGACAATCTGTCATACAGTACAACCCTTGAAAAATTTGCAAAGTGTCAATGATAGGAAAAACTATAGCTTACAGAACTTCCAATTCGTTCTAGTGCATCCTGGGCTCTCTTGATCCTCGTAGGAGCTGGACTAATTGCAAACAATCGAGTAAGATGAGAGCAGAATTCAACAGAAATTCCAACTGCCTACAATAATAGAAAATTTTCTTTAAACACTAAAATAACTTTACAAACTCAAATTATTTGAGCATATCTTTCTTCTCTTTATAATTCAGAGAATGATTCTAACAACAAGTAGTCTTAATTTAAACAGTCTTGTTGTAAGCTATTATTCAGCTTCAACATTGTTTGTGAACTTAGGCCTACAATATATGTCAAGGTGAACATGACCTGTAGAAATGTTATAGAAGAAATAAACTAATTTATTATTGTTACATGGACTGGGCTTGCCATTGTCTTTTTTTTATCAAACATGCCCAATTATAAAACAGTGTAATTGTATTCCTAACTGCTTTAATAATGCAAAACATATAGAAATTGGTGAACTTAATAATCATGTACTTAACCAAAAAAATAGATGGTTTTTTAGTTTGTAGTGAAATATTTTTAAGACAACACAACACACACAAGTATTGAAACAGGTCACTAAAATATATAAACACATCTACAGGAAATGAAGTTCTCTTACCACAACCAAGTTGACTAGAGAAACAGCATTAAGAGAAATATTCCACCAGTACATCATCCCCATCAAGTTGACAATAATCATCATAATGGTCATCACAACAACTGCTGCTGAGAAGAAGTCCAGTCCCAGAAAAAGGAAAGTTACAACAAATATGGCAGACACCGAAAATCCTAAGCTCTTCAGTGTGTCGGGCCACATGGTGAGGTACTGCTCATAGAACACATGGACTATGCTAGAAGACACAAAAACAATTTCTCTTAACAAAGATAAAGGAAACTCCCTAGTTCACGAATAAAGCAATGGGATAGAATTTAAAAATTTTTTAAATATGTGGAACTCCACTTCTGCATACACAATCGCATACCTGTAAGGAAGCACACGAACATCCGAGTCGGCTGTTTCTGTTCTGATCTGTTCGGTCAGTTTGTCCGAGATATAACGAGATAACTCCAGGGCTTTATAGAAGTCCTTTGAAGTCTTTAGGATAGTGTGGTATGTCATGTAGTGAGTAGCTGTAAAGAAGACATGGTCATTATTCTCCCAGTACCTATCCTATCAAGCGACACTGTTCAGACCCCAATATCTAAAGTACAAATGGATTCTGGGTTCCTCAATAAAAATAACTGAAAAACCCTATGATAATGTTAGATAAAAAAAGAACCATCTGTTCTGCAAGATAGATTAAATATTTGTTGCCATGGTTCTACAGACAACATTCATAATAACAGAAACCCTAGACTAAGGTGTTCAAAACATTTGGTACTTCAGATGACTAAGTTCTCAAATTTATAGTTTTTAAGAAAAAAAAACAACCTATAAATGAACGTAAAAAGACAAAGTTTAAGCAAAAACTTCTAAGAATGGAATATCGGGCTTATTTTACTATAAGCTCAAATCTTACCTCCCACCCTGGTGTAGCTATTATTGCCATGGATCAATTCGACAGCAGAACCAAACTGAGCTTTGCCTCTGTAGAAGAAATCCAAACAAAAAAACATTATTCAATAAATAGCCATTTTAAGATTCTGAAAATTTTCTCAAGTTAGAATAAAACTTTCTTTATTACATAATGTGCCTTTGACAGCTGACAATATATTCCATTTTAATAAGTGGAGTTATGTTGAAAACAGACTTTGGATATTATTTCCATTAAAAACAACAATATTTATTATTTTCATTTACAATCAACAATTTTGTAATGAGAGACACCTGAAAGACAAAATACAAGAAATTCTAGTCAGACTGTATGCAAGACCTGTGTCTGTGGAATACAGACTTAGCCAGACTGTATATGCAAGACCTGTGTGTGTGGAATACAGACTTAGCCAGACTGTATATGCAAGACTTGTGTCTGTGGAATACAGACTTAGCCAGACTGCATATGCAAGTCCTGTGTCTGTGGAATACAGACACAGCCAGACTGCATATGCAAGACTTGTGTCTGTGGAATACAGACAGCCAGACTGCATATGCAAGACCCGTGTCTGTGGAATACAGACTTAGCCAGACTGCATATGCAAGACCCGTGTCTGTGGAATACAGACTTAGCCAGACTGCATATGCAAGACCTGTGCCTGTGGAATACAGACTTAGCCAGACTGCATATGCAAGACCTGTGCCTGTGGAATACAGACACAGCCAGACTGCATATGCAAGACCTGTGTCTGTGGAATACAGACACAGCCAGACTGTATATGCAAGACCTGTAATTGCGGAATACAGACACAGCCAGACTGTATATGCAAGACCTGTAATTGCAGAATACAGACACAGTCAGACTGTATATGCAAGATCTGTGCCTGTGGAATACAGACATAGCCAGACTGTATATGCAAGATCTGTATTGGTGGAAAAAAAAAAAGACTTCTCTTTGTAACATAAAGTCTCATTTTAACACCTAATGCATTCACAATTTTTGATGACAATGTGGTGTAAACACACGCTATATCTAATTATTAAACTATTTAACTTAATAAAAATGACAGTAATAGGAATCAAGGAAAAAATCTTGGTCAATCTGTTGAAAATTACAAATTTGTGTGTTAAACTTTAGAGATTATTAAAGAAAATTTCCTGATAATTGTAACAATTTACACTATAATAACCATTATATGAGTATATAGATAAATGAAGCCTTAAAAAATGACAAGTAAATAACATTGTAAATCCCTACACAGTGTCTAATTCAAGTAACTTAACTATCAAACCATTGTAACATGTCTTCTTGAAAGATACTGTTTAACCCTTTCCAGACAGGTCACAGGTGAAAGGTCATGTCATTGCATTTGTTAATTCGCATTCAAAATTTTATTGAACTATTATTTCATGAATATATGGCAATAAGTTTGGTATCAAACAATACGTTATAATTGAATATTAGTATTATACCTTAAGCAATTTAGTCTAAACATTTATGTTTTCATGTTATAATTTGTGTTCATCCTAGAATGAAAGAGGCATAATTTATATTTATTTCCTGATTTTTTATGGTGGTTGCGTTATCTGTAAAATACTGCCGAACCCATACAGAGATTCATCACTGAAAATAGCAGATAAAATATAAAGTTTTTTCATAAGAAACATTTGATAACTATCTGGACATTATAAAGATTTTGCATGTGAAATTTGAAAATTTTCTGATGCACAAAAGTACTTTAATTTTAAAGTGAAAATTACTTTGCACGTTAGATAAGGCAACATTCAAAAAGAAAAAAGGCATGAGAAAAACATAGATTTATAAACCTTTATAAATTAAAAATTAAACAAAATAAACCTTGATATTTTGCATATGAAAGCATTGTAATGTTTACTGATAATATGCCAAATTTCATTACCATATGCTTACCAATTTAAAAGTTTTTGCATGAAAATTATACAAAGCACAAAATGTTTATGAGGTCGGGCCTAGGGACCGAGCCCGTAGTGAAAGAGAAAGAAAAGAAAAGCACGAGAAAACCATTGCTTTACAAACCTTAATAAAAGTAAAAAAAAAATGTTTTTGAATTGGTATTTTGTGTATGAAAGCATTGTGATATTTACTGATAATCTGCCAAATTTCTTTAACATTCACTCACTAATTTCAAAGTTATAGCATGAAAACTATAGCAAGCACAAAGTGGTTACGAGGTTGGTCCCAGGGACCGAGCCCATGTGGAAAGAGTTTACTTGACACTTACGCCTTTGCACAGTATTCATTGGGTAGGTCTTGTAAAAAATACTCCAGATAATGATTGAACTCGGACCCAGCTGGACGCGAATGAGGTCTGGCACAACTCTCACAGTCTAAATCATCTAAAACACAGTAAACAATATTAAACTAAAACAGAGTAGACAAGGATAAATTAAGACACAGTAAACAATGTTAAACTAAAACAGAGTAGACAATGTTAAACTAAAACAGAGTAAACAATGTTAAACTAAAACAGAGTAAACAATGTTAAACTAAAACAGAGTAGACAATGTTAACTAAAACACAGTAAATAATGTTAAACTATAACAGAGTAGACAAAGATAAATTAAGACACAGTAAACAATGTTAAACTAAAACAGAGTAGACAAGGATAAATTAAGACACAGTAAACAATGTTAACTAAAACACTTTAAGAGTTCTGTAAATCATAACAATGTTTAGGGACAATAACAAGTGCCATATTCATCAATCAAGGCTGTCCTATCCTCTAAACTAAACTAAAACTATACTTAAATAAACAAATCCAGCCCTTATCATTCACATAGTTATAAAGCTTTCTCATAAACTCGCTTAAATTTACTGCCACCACAATATCTGAAGGCAGCCTGTTCCAAATGCCAACCACCCTGTTAGAAAAATAAAACTGTCTTAGCCGAAGATAACTCCTACTCTGCCAAAATTTATACTTGTGCCCTACCATTCTAACCTCAATCACATCTCTTAATCACATCCCCTCTAATTCTTCTTTTTTTCAAGAGAAAACAATTTGAAAGATTGTATGACAACTCCTCCATCCCAGACACCATTCTAGTAGCCCTCATCTGAACACTTTCTAACAATTCAATGTCCTTCCTTAGGTAAGGAGCCCAAGACTGAAAACAATACTCCAAACATGGCCTAATCTGTGATCCATACAATGAAATTATAACCTATTTAATCTTGTATTAAATTGTATTTCATAGATACAACCTAAAATACTACTTGCCCTGGGATGGCTTTGGAGACTGATCAACCACTACACCAAAATCCCTTTCTTTCATAACACTGTTAAGGTTTCACTCCCATTCAAATTATACTTGTAATGCAAATTATGATGACCCACATTTATTACAATATTATTATATGATTAAAACCCATCTATCATTTATTCGCCCAACTCACTAAATGATCTAAATCCTTTTGTAAAGCAGCAGTATCCTCGTCACAGCCAGCGATATCCAAGACCTTAATATTGTCAGCAAATGTAAGTAACTTATTGACAATTCCTTCAACTATGTCATTGATGTAAATAAAAAAGAGCAAAGGTCCTAAGAATGAGCACTGAGGTACCCCACTTGTGACATTAATCCAGTTTGACTGAACTCCATTTACAACAACCCTCTGCATTCTTCCATCCAGACACTCTTCTACCCAATTAGTTATCTTATCCCCCACACCTATAGGGCTAATTTTTTTCACAAGCCTTTTATATGGTACCTTGTCAAATGCTTTCTAAAAATCCAGATACACCAAATCTACACCCTTACCCTCATATACACAAGTAGTAACCTTTTCAAAGAATGTTGAAAGATTTGTAAGGCAAGATTTTCCCTTACTGAAACCATGTTGACTATCTAAAACAATTCTAAACTTTGATAAATGATTTTGCAAAGCATCTTTTGCCAGACTTTCCGAAACGTTTCCCACAACTGATGTAAGACTAATGGGTCTATAATTACTGGGACAATTCTTATCACCTCCCTTGAAAAGAGGAGTTACATTAGCTAACTTCCAATCCTCTGGTCGCTGCCCACTGTTCAAGGACTGACAAAAATAGTAGCAAGTGGTTCACATATCCAATCTTTAACCTCCTTCAATACTCTTGGGGAAATATTATCTGGCCCAAGAGCCTTATAATTTTTTACACTTCGTAATGTTTTCTTAATCATTTTATTTTTTCTCAACCAGATCTTGTTTCCATTTATCAACTGATCAAGATGTGGAATACTGCTTAATT